ATCCGCTACCGGGTGAGGGGGTTAAACGTACTTTGCTCTCCCAGCGTGGCAGACAGCAAAGGAGGGCAGACATGTCGGGGCATGAGAACGGCAGAAAAGGTGGCAAAGCCCGCGCAAAGGCAGCGGGCTAGCCTCAATTCCCACACACTTTCGACGTTTTGTTGAGTGGCAGGAAAAAGCATGCAAGGCCTCCCATCTGCCATCTGCACACCAAGAGCGAGCAAGATGCGCATGCACGACACACATGCTAGAATGTTCGGAACAGCTCTGGGCTCATTTCCAGTTGGAAAACAAAACTTCTGAATTCGAGCCAGTGTGCCTGGTGTCGCTTAGCGGTGGAGACGGGCGAAGGAGTTGTGATCAAGGGAGAGCAGAGCAGATTTGCGAGAGAAGGGCAAAGAGTTGCGATAGAGTGAAGAGAATGTGAAAAGAGAGAAACCAAAACACGCGGGAAAGAGGCAGGTCGTGTAGCTTGTTTGAAAGGTCCGCCTAACGCGTGCTTCGCGTGTAGGAAAACTTGAAAGAGGGCCTGCGCGCGCAAAGGTCAAAACACGGCAGTCAGGGCGCGCCCGCGCGCGGTGTTAAAGAATTGTTTTGTTGTGCCAGCTGTTTTGCATGGCCTCACCGACTTCGATATTTCGTGATTTGTTTCGTGCAAATTAACAGCCATTTATGTGCTTCTGCACGCAGGCGGAGGGCATGCTGATCTGACTGGGAAGTGAACGAGTACAGGTCCTAAACACGAAATGAATCGCCAATTGTCTGTCGGTAGGGTATCGTACGCACGTGCACTAGAACGATACGACAGCCCCGCCGCGGTGGTCTAGTGGCTAAGGTACTCGGCTGCTGACCCGCAGGTCGCGGGTTCATGTCCCGGCTGCGGCGGCTGCATTTCCGATGGAGGCGGAAATGTCGAGGCCCGTGTGCTCAGATTTGGGTGCACGATAAAGAACCCCAGGTGGTCAAAATTTCCGGAGCCCTTCACTACGGCGTCTCTCATAATCATATGGTGGTTTTGGGACGTTAAACCCCACAAATCAATCAGAACGATACGACAAGACAAGACACAGACGATCGAATACAGTCAGTGGTCGAAGATGTTGACAAATGGTCTGGTCACTCCAGGCCTGCAATGCCAACAACAGTACCAGCGATCAAAAACAGGGGAGATGGCCAACCGGTTTTCAAAAGATTGGTGGCAGTGTAAAAACACAGACCTCATTTGGCCATCGTGCTCAGAGTAGCGGGTTACAAAGGACGGAGGGGTGCATAACTGTTACAACGCACGACACTGACTCAACAGAACATAGGTGGCATGTCGTCCATTCTAGGTCAGCCAGAGCTTCGGCGAACCTGAGCTACCGCGCAGCGCGAGCGTCACGAGATCAGTGAGTCACCCTTATTGCTGGTGATGATGATGCCACAGTAACAAAAAGCGGTAGGGGAAAGCGGCAACTAGAGGGGTGCAGAGGCAGGGTCAGCGTTTAACAGTAAGAATCTATGGGCACCTCACCGATGCCTGGTTGGTGGTCGAAAGTGATTTCCCGGGAAGTCGGCCAAGCGCCGACTCCGTTCGCTGTAACCGATCGGCGCCGCTTGGAGACGTTTATTGTAAGTGCAATTTTGTGCGATTGAAACAATGTATGTTTATTTTCACGATCACGCGAATATTGTTCGTTTTAAGCGAAAGTTTGTTTTAAGTGCAGCCGTTATATGTGGGCTCGACTGTAAATGCGGTATTATTCGATGTGTGCAGGTTTTTGAGCCATAAACTTTTTCATATTCATAAGTTAGTCACAAAGACAAGGATAGATGTGCGTTTGCAGTTAGGTAGCCTTCTTCAGGAGTGAAGGCACAGTTATGTAGTGTCACAGTTTGCATTTAGTGAATAGGCTCAGTCATGCTGCAAAGTTTCATACATGTCAGCAACACACAACTAGAATTAATGAGTGTTGAGTGTGCACAGTAAAGGTCAGGAGCTATCGAATTGTTATGGAAAAGCATAGCGATGCCAAATGTGGTACCAACAATACAGGCTGTGCGACCTGCTTTTAAAGTGAAGAAAGAAATACAAAATGTTCAAGCTGGCCTGTGGGAACTTGCACATCCATTAAGCTACGTGCTACTGTAATTTGCACTCAATAAAAGTTGGTTGCCCGTAACAGTTTTTCTGGAGAATAATGTAACTGGTTAAAGAAATAAAATTTGTTCTTTTATATTTACTGAGAAAAAGTGGAATCGCAAAAATACCAAAAATTGGTTGCATGAAAGTCCAGTGGATGTGGCACAACTCTGCTTCAAAATTTTGTTGCTTTCTTGCTCATGAAAGCCAACTGACAAATGTAGCGATGCCTGATGCAGGATGGTACACTCACACTTTATTGTATAATTTTGTTTCATCTTGCATGAAAATGTTTTTTATACCATATTTACTTGCATAATCCTCGCACTTTTTTTGGCGGAAAACTGCTGCAAAGTTGAGGGGTGCGAGAATTATGCTGGGAAAACTTTCCGTCAAAACATACAAAGCAAAAAGAAAACTAAGTGGTCGCATATCGGGTTTCTCACGCTAGCAACTAACCGCAAGCTTTCAGAAGTACTAATTAAGACTTACCCCAACAATAAAAGCATAGGTTCTACACCAGGCGAGATTTATTTGAGACACAAAAGGCGCAAGCAAATAGTCCAGAATTAGAATACCGTACGCAAAGCTTGTGGGCGTTGCGGGTGTAGCGGTAGCGTTCCTCACTCAACAGAACCCCGCCAAAAGGTAGCGTACGACGTCAGTATTGGGCTGATGGCCATTTAACACAGAATTGTCTACAGTTGCTTTCTGACGAAATGAAGTGTACCGTCCATCCCAGTCTCAGGCACACGGAAGGTACAACGCATCTTGGTGGCTTTCAACTGCCGTCCCCAGTAGCAAACACCCGACTTGTGGACTCCAAATGGCCTACCAGCAGCCCTGTTGCCATTGTTTAGTGCACGATCAATCACTTTTAACTTGAAAGCAGCCGTGTAGCTTCCGTATCGCCCCATAATGTAACAATCTTTACCGACAGACACTACGTACAAAACGCGCCGTAATGTGCACTTGCCACTTCGGCTTAGCTTGGATTGGATTGAATCTCTGTGCATTAATAGTATGCTTTATGCAATAAAGATGGCGCCAGATGGTGCACAATATCATCATCAATGGCTGGAACGAGCAGGCAACATTATAGCGGCAATTTTCGGGGGTGCGATAATTACTCGCAGAAAAAAAGAACTTGTTGGGCGATGTTGGGGCTGCGAGAATTGTGCGAGTGCGAGGATTACCGGAGTAAATACGGTATCTGAAAATTTGTTATAAAGGTACATTTCTAAAGCTGTATCTATTACAAGATGATTCTACATTTACTTTGTTATATCTGGGTATAAAGGTACATTTCTAAAGCTGTATCTATTACAAGACAATTCTACATTTACTTTGTTATATCTGGGTCTGTTATATTGAAGTTTGAGTGTTATTTTCAGTGCATGAATACCTTAATGGTGCCAGCTGTGTCTGTGTGGTCATAATTCTTTGGAAAAAGGTGATTAAGCTGTGGAAGTGAGCAAAGCAGGTCCTACAAATGCCGTACCGTATTTATCGGCATAATTTGTGCAACTTTAATATTTAGCCTGCTTTATTAAAAAAAAATTCACCCATACTTTGCGCCACTTGCCATGCCCGAGCCAGCTCGCAGGTGTGCATACCAAGAGACTTTGGACGGTTGTGCTAGGCATGCAGCTCACTGAGCAGGTGAGCACAGTTGTGCATAAAATGGGCTGCGGGTGCGAAGTTCCTTCTTCCGAGGACTTTTCCCGAACTACGGTTCCTATAGAATACCGTACCCGGAAACCCAAACCTCTTGACAGATCATCGGAACAGCACGAGCGTTTGCTTCGCTCTACCTCTCCATCTCTTCCACCATGAAAGAGCACACCTGCGTCACGGCTTCGCGCTTTGTCGGTGGCAGGGCAACCACAGAAGATGCATGCCCGTGCCAAAATGACAAAATACAAGGCAAAATATTTGGATTGCCTGTGGCGAAAATGCGTTTTATCAAAGTTGTCTTCCACTGTTACTTTGTTACATAGAAGCCGCAAATACATGTGCCTCTATGGAGTAACGGTGGGGAATATAAAAACTTTTTTATAACGAGGAGTTCGTTATATGGAGGTTCGTTATAAGTAAGTTTAACTGTACGTTCCTCAGTTTCATGACAACCCGCATTTTACAACCAATCAGCTTAGTCCCAGCGTCTCTATATAAATAATGTATCAAAAACCTTGGTTATATGACGCAGTTTTATGCCGACCCTGCATCTTACGGTGAACTCCTGGTTTGTCGCCATCATGTGATAGCGATGACACTGTGTCCGATTCTTCGGATAGGAGGCTGTTGGTAACGCGGCTTCGGTTTCGCGCGCAGGCAATTTTCGAACTGTATTTATCGTTATTAAGATGCACATATAATTCAAGTGTTTTAAAGTTTACATAAAGATTTGCTCGCGCATCCTTTCACTTAGTAACGCTGCCATTAGCTGTCACTACTAGCAAGAATGATTTAATCTACCTTCCTTGCAGAGACGCAAGGTCGTGCCGGGGGCTTATTCAGGCAGTTTGTACCCGTTTTCTGGGCAGGGATGAGTGTCAGTGCCTATAATGTTAGTTTTTTGTTTGCACAATGTCCTGATTTAACAGCGGGTTTGTGTGGTTTCCTGAAAGTCGAATAAGCGGGGTTCTACTGTATTTACTATTTCAACCTATTTCGAGTGTGTTCGCAAAATCTCAGTCTAATTTGCGTACCCCCTGTTCGGAGCTCCAAAACTACAAAAAAAAAAGGTGCGAATTATACGAGTAAATACGATATGTATCTTTTTACGTTGTGGTGCACTTTATAATGCCTCGTTTTATGCAGCATTGGCAGCCTTCTAGGCTAGAGCAATGGATTCATGTGCAACTTTTGTGTGCAGTGGAAGATTGCGAGAGGCACGATGGATCTGAAGAGAAGCCATACTACATGTCCAAAGAGCTCATGAAGATCCTGGGAAAGCAGAACAGGCTGCAGGAGGCAGACAAGTGATTGCCCTGGCCCTTTTTTGAAATTGTGCTCCGACTTGCTCAGCTGTAAGAAGCCCATTTTGCTTAGCCTCGGCATGCACACGATCCCGACTCTGAAAATGCGCCACGAGTGCCAGGAAATCACTTCAGCTTGCGGGCAGAAAACTTGCAGTGGCCTGTGCTGGAAAGCGAAAACAAAAAACTAATTCTCTGCAGATACAAGAAAAACTACTTTCATGGCGAGTAACTGGTTGTTGTTCTTTTGTGCACAGCATTATATGTATTGGATGTTGCATAAGCAGAGGTGCTTCAGCTGTGGAGCATGCCGCTCCAATTTCTGCAACTCTCAATGTGCGATAGGTGTTGAACCGCATGCATGCGTTGTTTTGGTGCCTTTGTATTTTATTCATGCTTGGTCACTCATTTAACAAGCGCACAAGGCTGCACTGCCATTCATATTTCGTTTTTTGTAGAAGTGGAGACCATGTGCTGGAAAGGTGTCAATGCTCCGATTTCTGCAACTTTCAGCAACTTTCAATGCGCAATAGGTGTTGTGCTGCATGCGTGTGTCGTTCTGATGGCATTGTATTTCATTCGAGCTTCGGCACTCATTTAACAAGCGCACAAGGCTGCACTGCCATTCAGGCTTTGTTTTTATTGAAACCATGTGCTGGAAAGGTACTGATGCTTCTTTGCTCACCTAATTTATGTAGCCAAATGTACGTGTACTAACAAAAGCCTTGTCCCCAATTTTCTGGAATAGAACCTTTACAAATTTGGTTCCACACTCACCAAAGGAATCTCCCTTTTTCTGATGGAAGTGGTCCGTCTCGCATTCAGTGTGATGTACTCAATTCCTTCAGGTCCCGAGTCTGACGGCAAGATACCTGTGAATTTGTGTGCGCAAATTAAGACAAGGACACAGAAAAGACCGGACAGGGACAGGAACCTTGTCCGGTCTTCTCGGTGTTCTTGTCTTAATTTGCGCACACCAGTTTACTTTGAAGTATGAACCAACTCGCGCAGCTGCAAGTTTTCCTAAAGATACCTGTACCACTGTACAAAATACCCGTCCAAGTTGGTTGGTGTCATTATGTTTTGTAACCTTGGCAGTTTCAGGCGAATTGTTATTTTAATTTAAAAAATTGTTCAGAACTGAATACAGTGTTAACTTTTGTAATTCTTTATATGGTACACTGCCTTTATATATTGTGCACAATAGTTACCACATGGCTATTCAGACATCAATTTGGCAAGGGGGTGGGGGGGACGACACCTGTGGGGAAGTGTCAGTTTCAGCCAACCAATTTGTCTTGCAGCAGAAATTTGGGGTGTGTGACAGCTCTGGCATCAAAAGTATGTGTCACACGTTGAGTGACTGTCATCTTTTGCTTTGATTTGTTACTGTCAAGCCGACACCTTGAAGGTGCATGTCTAGTATTGCATCAGCATGAATTGGCCCTCGCCAGGAGTTGGTTCCATGCGGGTTTCTGGTCAACTTGATGTGAATTTTTCATTGGCACCAATGTTGCTGCAGAAAAAGGTCCATGGACCTGTTTATGTTGCTGTGTGACCTAGCACAAGGACTCTTTTTGGTGTGTGGTAATGTGGGATGCTGCCCAGTGCCATCCTCCAGCGATATGCTGAGTGAAAAATGTTTCGGTCGCATATTCATTTCCAAAATAATGTCCCAGTTTTCATGGCATCTTGTATGGCATGTCTGTGTGATTTGGCTTAGACACAGCACTGAAAATTGACATTCACTTTATTTGCAGGGAAGTTGAGTGCTAACAAGCCAGCTATTTCACTGCATCAGGTGCAAATGCAGTGAGATCGCACTAATTCGATCTCTATATTTGTATTGATGAATAATGTGCATTACACGGCTGGTTAAGGTGAAGTTTTATGCGTTTCAATAATAGAAAACTGCCAAAAACTGAAGCTTTTATGAATTGCTCTGCCCGTCAGTTATTTCACAGAAAACTTGTGCTGCTTCCAGGACCGCTTTTCAACACATGTAGATACCAGCAGCTTGTCTCCCTCAATCATTTAACCCTCTGCAAATGGAGCAAAGGCTGTCTCGTGCTTTTCTGAACCCTGCCAATACTCCGCCTCACGCCTGAATGCACGTTTGGCCCCTTTGCTTTGCTTCTGGCGCTAAGGCAGCCGTGTATGTGGCAGCTGTCCCGAGGGGATGTGGCGTTTGCTGTTTTGTCAGCAGAGATAGCCCACGCACCATATTGATTCAGAGCTCCTTTCATTATTTTTTCTTCTCCTCCCTTCTCTGTGCACCACGCTCTCTTATTGGCTGCATCTCTATCATTTCTTAACAGGAATCAAGGTTTGCGTAGATGAGGGTCCTACTCTCCTGTGCCCTCAGTGCATTTACAGTGTGGTCAGCAGTAAAATTTCTTTTGCCCTCTGTTTTTTTATTCTTTTTTGTCAACGCTGTATATAGGGTCTGAGGGGTGGAGTTTCAGGGCTCACGGCGGGGAAGGAGGCATTGCTGCCATTGTGAGGCGAGCGACTTGAGCTGAGCATGCTTTTTCTTTCCATGGGGTTCAGTGCTCTCCCAGTCAGGTTTCACTGGCTTGTTTCTGGCAACAGGAGCAACATAGCTGTCCTATAGGACAGCCATGTTGCTAGAAAAGGTTGGCAAACCCTTCTAGCCTTATAACTGACGTGGCCTTCTGTGAAACCAGTGTAGCCACAATAGAGAGAGGCACTTTTGGAAAGTAACGTGAAGGGTACCCAAGAGGCTGACAGCTCATGGCAAGCCAGAACACATCGAATGAGCGCGACAAACCACACTGAACGTATGTCAAAACAAAGAATGCTCAAGATGCTGCTAAGCATTACCAGGGATTTGGGAAATAAAAAATAACAAACACTGACCAGGTAAGAAATCTTGAATACATGTTGGTAGTCAAGTCAAGCACTTGTGACAGAGTACTCGGGAAGCCAGTGAAAACAGCTCGTGGCCAAAAGTGGAGAATGTGGCAAAAATGCAAACGTTAGCTAGTTTAGACAGTCAAGTCTGGTGGTAGGAATTGGAGGTAGGAATTCATTCACTGAGAAGAGAAAGAGAGATTGATTATGTGATGGGCATTTCACTCTCTATAGCTGGATGACTAGAGACCTTTCTTTCTACTTGCATTCGGTCTCTAAACTACATTTCACCTCAATGTCTTTATTGTTCTGTCTGGATTGTTGCACACACTCATCATTTTTCACATGGGTCTGTTCAGCAAGGTACAGCTTCACTTGCTCATCAATTTCCACAGGGCTTGAAGGCAGTGTAATTATTTACATGTGTATATTTCTCTAAATGAACCAGCTACTGCATATTGTATGGTGCACTCTCTTCTAATAACTGCAACCTTCCCTCTCCCTGTCCAAAAAAGGCCCTTTCGCACTAATCTAGAAGAGTGTGCTGAGACGGCCCATGCAGTACCTTCCAGAAACTTGGCTCGAAGCATTAGGTGCCCTATTCAAAAGGGCTCTCTCGAGTACTAACTCAATTTTACTTCAACTAATTTCCAGTTTACTTGGAATTAAGGATTGTTCCACTGTGTACAGTTAGGATAATTTGCATCAGATAAGGTAGACAACAGTTCCAGAACTTTTCAGCCAAAGCGCTGAAGCAAGCTCTAAATGTGCATTATCAGTCTCTAGCAGTATGTTGTTGCCGCACAACATGTTAAGGGGACGTACTGTGATTTGAAGGCCAGGCAGGTGACTACGAGTAACCCTACGAGGCCATGACTGCTCTTGACACTTTTGGGAGATGTGTGTTGCCAAAATTACCTTCCCGTCTACGAAGATGCATTTGTAAGCGACTCATAGTTAGAAGTCATATGGGAAAGTAACGCGTGGTTCTTGTGCATGGTGCACCATTGTTGAAAGAAGCAACGTACTTGCATTTAATTTTGCCAACTTTTCTTTTTCTAAGGCTGATAGTTTGAAGTAAAAAAGTTCCATGAGCAGAATTTTTCAATACCCAAATGGTGCCTAGTGCACTTACTTTTATAATGACAACTTCTTTGCATGGCATTGTTTTGAACTCTGTCATCTGGTCACTAGCGTAATGGTGATATGTGTGTCTGAAAACAATGAGCTTGCTTTATCAGTTGACACTCATGTTGTGAGGCATTAATGTTCTTGAACGTTCGGTGTTACGGGTATGAATGCCGGACTGGTAAGAGTGCAGGCACTTGTACCGCCTGCCCTCAACGACGGTTGCTCTTTTTACCACAGCACCACTCAGTAATCTGTGTGTCGGCCCAACAACACCATCGCGTCAACGTGATAATATATTGCAAGTATTATTGTTGTGCATGAAGTTTTGCTAGAAAGTCTTTTTTTCATTGGTGTATTGTACAGCCTAGCTTTCAACTAACACTGTGGTGTTACAAACCCTAGAGCTTTGGGAGGAATAAAGATGCTCAATAATGAAACTATACATAAGCTTTTATTGTATGTTAGGGCATTCGATTGTACAGTTGTTGACTGTCTAGGTGCCTTTTTAGTTACTGCCTTTTTTTTTTTTGTAAAAAAAGTGGGGGGAGGGGGGCTCTAGTGATTTGTCAAACTTGCTGATAACTAACTAAAGAGACTTATTTTTGATAATACAATCATAATTGAAACGTGGCTGTGCATTGCTGCACCAAATTGTGAAGCCAGTGTTGGGGCATGTGCCCCTGCTGTGCACTACATCGTTGTCGCCCAGCAGAGTAGAAGCACTCGTGGGGCATTACCTATGTGCCAACATCTTGTGCAATGTGTGGAAGTGCACGCAACTTTGCACAAAACATTCCCTCGCATATACACTACAATTATTATTAAAGATGGGCAATAATTAATATATAATGTCCCTCGATCATGACAGTATTGTCTGCCGATGCCTAAAGCCAAGGGAATTAAGGAAGAATTAAGTAATCATATCGGTGCATTTGTAATGTGCTGATGAGATTTTGTACTTTGTGTAGGAATCCGTTTGTGTTGATCACCAAGTTCAGTGTTAACAGCACACTGAAATGTGTGAAAAAGGTAACTGCTTATGACAGTGTTTGGCAAACTTGCACAAAACTTGCACCAGTGTGAGAGTGCAACTGTGGCATGATATGCTAAGTGAACCCATATACGCTACTGTAATACTCCTGCTGTGCTGTAATGATCGGTTTGCTTAAACAGAGCGCAAATGTTTGTGAAGCAGCTCTCGGCTTGCGAAGAGACTATGTGGTGTCTGACAGAGAGATGCCCGTCACTGCTGTCTTTTACCTCAATGACTGCACTTTAGAACACCACTGGGGTAAAGCAGTTTTGCTTGGAGACACCAATAGTGATCACAGTGTGTTAAGTGGCCTAAGTTGTGGGGAACAGGTGTTCGCTGAATTATTACTAGAGCATCCTTAAAAAAGAAGTTCACCTAGACTGTGTCCCTACAGTTGCTAGAAAGCTATACCTGAAGGCTTCTTTTGACTAGATGTGCTTTTGTGTAGAGCCATAACACCAGGGTAGAGATGTGGGCTTTGTCATAACAGAATGGCATGCAGCATGATGTAGAAACAAACAGACACAACAGATAACGAAGGAACACAAGCGCCAGCTTCATGTGATGAAGTTTATTTTTAGGATTGGTCATACTTTTAAACAAACAAAAGCATGTATGTATCGACATCGGTGCTTTTTAGGGAGCACAGAAAGAAAGTCAAGAATGAACTTTTTTTAGCTTTTCTCTGAAAACAAGTGCACATCACCTCGTTCTGGCACATTGTTTACATAAATTAATGGGAGCCTATGATATAATTGTAAATGGCCACCGACTAATATATAATAATATCTTCACTAAAATTGCTTACCGAAGGTATGGATGCCTTGAAGAGCGAATTCATCCAGAGCGTAATATTGGGGGTTTTCTTGTGTTTGTGGTGTTGTATTAGTTATGAAATTGCATTCGTGTTGAGGCTTTCGGCCTAAGTAGACATGTGTTAAGGCAGTGCTACAAATGAATTGTTTATTTACACAAAGTTCATTCTAGTGGTGTGCTGTAATTCTAGAATAACTTCAGCCGCTTCTGGCAAAGGAAGCTGGGTGACCTCTAGGCCCCTGCAGCTGACTATTCTGAACAGTGGGGGCTGGTACTAAAGGCGACCATTTTGTTTTTGGAGCCAGTTGAGCTGTCAGATAGAGTAGCAGCTGTCTGGCAAATGATGCTGGCGTGATGCTGCACTGTGCGGTCGGTTGGGTGCTCTAGTAGAGGCATCTCCTGGGCCAGCAAAGAAAGACCGCTAGTAGTCTCCGGGATCAAAAAATAGTTGCATTCAGGATGGGGCCGTATGACGTGGGTTCGCTGTATGTGCCCTTTGGTGCGGAAATATTCAAGCGCCTTTGAATAAAAAACGCCACAGAGCGCATCACGTCTCATTCATTGCAGAAATCCGTGCATAAGGAACACTACAGTAAAGTTGTAAAGCAATTCTAAATATTGTTACTGGTCTTTTTTGAATTACGCTCTTAAACTTCAGTACCTGATTGTTCGCGTCACATCGCAAATATTTTTTTGGCCACATTGGCAAAATGGAATTTCCTGTATTCTGCTATTTGGATTCCTCAAAGTACAATGAATAATAATTCTAATAAGTAAATGGGGGCGTTAACAACGGAAGTACTCGATTTCTGCATGTTCTTGCAGGAGAGGCCACCCCTCTACGTGTTTTGTCACAAAGAGTGGTATTTGGCAATTAAGAGATAATTAGCTAAGATATTCTCTTGTTAAGCGTGTCATAAAACATGTTAAAGTTAGTGCCGAGCCTTGCATTACTGGAAACATTGTGTTTCACAATACCTAGACAATTATTTCATTTTGTGAGTTGAAAGAAATCTTGTGCCAGTGAATTCAAAACACGACAGCAGGCACGATTTCTCATATGAGTGAAATACTAAGCTTTTGCTGAATGCTCTCTTATATAGTAAGAATAATTAAATAATCAAATATTGAGCCCACACACACAGTCAACTTGTGATAATTCAAACTCTAATAACTCAAACTTTTGGTTAATTCAAACAAAATTCAATTTTTGGTTGGCCCTCTATTCTTTGAGTGTATTTAAAAGTGTCGTAATTCAAATGTCATAATTTGGTTAATTCATACTTTTTGCAGGTTCTTGCCAGAAAATATCAGTTGCTTTCCCACTATCATTTAAAATTTTGTGTGCTTATATAATCCTACTAGTCTAAAAATGAAAAATAAGCACCTGAGGCCTTCAAGGAAAAAAGGTTTTGCAAGTAAACAAATGTTTGAAACAAAGCACACCCATGGTAAACCATGATGCATCTAAACGGCTGTAGACCCTTTCACTGTTTAAAAACACAGGCAACTGATGACATCCAGTTTAGTCCACCTATGTGCCCTATTAGCATTGGTGGGCAAGAAGAGTGTCGGAAAATAGCGTGCCGATTTTCAACACTTTTCTTGCCTTATTTGACAAAATATATTCAAATATAGGTTCTTTTGAGCTACATTAAATTCATAAGATTCCTCTGAACAATATGCACATTCTTTTTATCTGAAAAATTAATAAGAGACTCATTACTCTTGAAAAAACGTGAAAACGACCTTTCAGTTTCGACGATAGAAGCTGGTGACCAGAAGTTTTTTTGGGGCACGACGCTTGCAATCTTGAAACTGTCTATAGAGAGCTTTGTGCTGAAGACACAATCCTGTAACAATGAAAGAGTTGGCAATTCACTATTTTTTTAAAAGGTTTGATCAGCAGTAAATGGCAAATAAACTTGTTGATTTTACACCCCTGCTTTCTGTTTATTGTGTGCAATTAGAACTAAAAGACTTCAAAAATCTTAAATGTGATAAAATCAACACCTAATCGTAATGTGTGGTGTCACCCCACCCAGAGTCGTCTGTCTGAGAACTTCTGATAATTCGAACGAAATTCAGAGGACCCTCAGAGATTAAATTAACGAGCATTAACTATATATATATATGTGTGGAAAATAAGTATACGCCTCCAAAAAAACTGTTTATTGGTGACGTTTAGATCAGAGACCGATCTTCATCAGACCTGATGAAGATCGGTCTCCGATCGAAACGTCACCAATAAACAGTTTTTTTAGAGGCGTATACTTATTTTCCCTTAATTCTACGGCAACCAAAGCCAGGCTCTTTATAATCTCATATATATATATATATATATATATATATATATATATATATATTGCTTTAACGACATCCATGTCGTTCAAGTATTAAGACAATTGGGACCCTCTCGAGGCAAATGATCACAAAGTCGAGCTAATTGAAACTTGCTAAGGTTAAAGCTTGGGCGAGTTGGTTCAAATACATGATTAAAAACACAGCGCAAACAACGGCAGGAAGAAAGGAAGAGACAGGAAAGGAAGAGACAGGCGTTGTTTGCGCTGTGTTTTTAATCATGTAATCGAGCTAATTATTTCGAACGTTTTAAAGAGCCCTACAACACTTTTTCATGTTGTCGAATAGCTCAGCTAATAGTTTATTTAGGCAAAAATCTTTGTCTCATGTAGAGGTGATGGGCCATACAACAATGGGCTAGCGTGGGCGAAATAAGTGCAAGTCATCGCCAGCTGAGCACTGACTGTATGCGGAAATTGCGTGACTAAACAAAATGAAAAGAAGCGGGTCGATCCCAGTGCAGCGTGCGAGTCGTGATCTTGGGAACCGCGCCTCTTTATTCACGGGTTCACCATAGGTCGGCAAAAGTTATAGAGCTCACTCAGACTAGCTCATGAAAGATATCTTGCGCTTAGATGCACCAAAATTATGCTGAGATGGCCTTGCTAGGACTCACTCTCACAAAAATTGTCTCCTGCTGGGCTGACTCGAACTCAAGCTCACCAAATTATTGCTCACCTGGACTTGCGGCTCAATCTGAGTCTGAGTGAGCCAGAATGAGTCGACTCATGAGTTCGTAGCCAAGAATTACCTTGTTCCACGATAGTGTCAATGTTCTTTAACAACAATATTTTGAGTAATCTATGCTCTTCTTAGCACTTATTCTTAAGAATGATAATAGTGCACTAAAAACGAAGGCACAAAGGAGGCACGCACTTCAACACCTTCAACCCTCCCCACTTCAATACTGCAAAAACCTTTGACGTATTTGTCCCAAAGTTTAGAGAGTAAGTGACTTTTCAAGGTGTTGCTTCAGCACTGCAGTGGAGTATACCCTGAACAGTCATACCGGGTGGATCTTTCAGTTTTTTTTTTGTTTTAATGAGAAGATCAAAAGAACTTGAACTTTGTGCACCACAAATAAAAAAATATTGCATGTTTTACAAATTGGTAGGGCTGCGATATGCACTGTTATATTTAGGAATGCTGAGTGGTAAAAATTGTGATAGCAGTGCATTCTCGGGAGTGAGCACTCTAAGAAAAAATGGAGTATTCAGGGAGTAGGTCTGCTACACAACAATAACAGTGATCTAACTTGCTCGCATTTCCTTTCTTGAAAATCCAGTGCTGGCCACTTTCCTGTTAAGAATGCTATGTCATAGTGATAATGCATGCGCCATTCGCAATCTACCGGAACTGTGGGGATAGGGCGAAGAAAGTAGTCAAAATAAATTATGATTATTCTTGTGTCGCAGAAACACTCCTCAAATGCTCGATTTTTCTGTCTGTGTACTTTTGATCATTACACGGGCAGCATTGTTTGTTTTTCCAGTTTTATTGCCTGGCACCTACAAGAACAGTTAACATGTAATCTCACAGGAATTTCCTTTGGTTGTGATTGAATAACTTGTTTTGTATACTTTGGTGTCTGCCATAAGGACACAATTGGTTGTTGTAGTTGTCTCTGCAGCTTGCACAAAAAATGGCATTGACAGTTGCTGCTAAGCCTGTAAGTATTACACTGCCTTGTGCTTTTATTCCTGTCATGTTAAGCCTGAACATATGCCAAAGTGGTGTGCCTTTTTGCTGCAATAAAGGCTTTGCAGACAAGCCTATCGGTTTCATACATCTCTCTCAGTAGCAAAACAAGGTGTCCCAAGTGGTGGTTAAAGTATCCGAAACCTTCTGTAAAATACTCGACCCTCATTGCGCACAAGAACAGTGATGGAAGTGCTGCTACAATTGCTCTAAACTGCTCCGAAAAGAGAAATGCTGCCCCATGCTGCTACAACGTGTCATATTTGTTGATAACTACTCTAAACCTACTCCAAAATGGCACTGGGAAGCAGAACACAATGGACTTGGACTGTGTGATCGTTAAGAAAGCCTGCACGAAACCGAAAACAAGCTGTATATGTTATTATCCTAGTATGCAGCTTGCTTACTAACTGTACACTAGCATATTCGCAATGCCAGAAGTTCTGGCTCTATATGTGCCTGATATACCTGCATTTGAACTTGACAGGCAGATTATTTTGGTGAAATATATGTGATAAACCCCTCCCCAACCCCCTCTCTGGCGGTGCTACTGTTCGCCGTATTTTGTATAAGTGTCTAGTTCTTGTTTATTACCGTCTTATCTCCCCCTCACACAATGTTTCAAACATCGAACATTATGTGTGTGTGTGTGGCGGGGGGAGGGGGGGGGCAATTAGACAAGGAACCCCCGAGGTCTTTGTGTAAATAAATAAGCAAAAAAATTACGGCAATGGAAAAAATGCACAATAGAATGTACGCAAAATAATGTTATATGTGAAGAAAATTCGAAATACATGGAGACTTAGTGTTGTATCGCCGCCTGATGCATCGTCCAATGAAGACAATGGGTGTGTTAGCCCCAGAGCGCTTTAACAAGCGTCACGCCAGGCCGAAAATGACGAGGGGACGCTTTATTCAGAGTGGGCGTCGGCGCATAGCAATGGTTACACAATATAGCCCTTGTCTGGTGCTATGTGACACATCTTGCGAAACCGAAACTGATCGGAGGTTCATGACTCGGAGATTAGTATTTTTGAATTTAACACATGAAATCCCGACACCACATGATCTCTCCCTAGAAAGGAAAGCAGACGTAAACTCTTGCGTACTTGTACAAGAGGACGGGGATGAATTATATACAGAACTAGCACCTCAGTATGCAATGACAGTTGTTTCGGACATTATACACCGGCAAGGCAAAGCACTGAAACTTTGACATATAGTAGTAACATGCATATGATGGACTAGTACAATTACAATAAATACTTTGTGCACATGTAAATTTGACATAACCATTGAAAATATCTTGCAGAAAATTGTAAAATAAAACAACACTATACAGTAGTTATCACATCAAAGAGTATGCTCAGGGAACATAATTCTTGTAACGTGCCGGTGTTTTAGGCGTCGCTTGGGATGAAGGCATGCAAGATAATGAGGTGAAGGATTCACCGATGGAGCCTTATCTATCTCGGAAAATTTTGAGCCTTGGGGCTCATCGTCGGAGAGCAAACGTGGTAGCGATTCTGAAGTGTCCGTACATCACGCATCCGTACCCGAGACATCTGGACCCCCTTCAAAAAAATTTGCACTGGGCACATCAGCCGTTCGTTGTGAAGGTGCCCGTAAAGTGATTTGTGGAAGAGTCGCTAACTGGGGCATTGCAGAAGAACATGGAAGAGGGGAATAATTCTGATGCATGAATGAATAATTAGACAAGTTAATTCTGCTGTGAACCAGTACGAGCTCTGAAGCATTCCATACATTGCCATCACTCGGGCCGAATGAATTCAGTCCAAGTTGACTAGTAATTATATATGGACCCTTACACTTAATCTGCTTGCCTGGAAGACGAACTTTAATCCTGTGGCCCACCTGTAGCTTGGGAGGTTTAGATCCGGGCTTTAAGTCAATCTGTTGCTTAGTTGCCTATTGCTTATGGAATACTCGTGTTCTCACAGGATTCAAAGTTGGCAAAGAAGCAGAATATTTTGGGTGTAACCCTGTAACGTCAATTCCAGAACGCGGTTGGCGATTATGCAAAAGTTGTGCAGAAAAGCCTGTAGTAGCTTGAGGCGTAAAGCGATACGTGCCCAAGTACTCTGTGACAGCATGCGTCAGTGGGCGGCATTCAAGTAGAGTGAGCTGAATTTGCTCTTTCAGAACTGTTGAAACGTTCAACTTGGCCGTTGGCTTGTAGATATTAGTTCCATGAGCAAAGATGCTGAATGCCTCTGTCTGAGAGGAAGGTTTCAAATAGTTGCGACTTGAACTGAGGGCCGTTGTCCGCAAGGATCGCCTCAGGGAAGCCTTCTCTATTGAAAAGTGCTGTCAAGAATGTAATTACCACTTCGGAAGTGACTGCAAGAGTAAAACAAACTTCCGGCCATTTAGAGTGGTAGTCAATTCTAATTCCAAATCTGCAGTCGAACGGACTGCGATCAAGAGGACTGACAATGTCCATGCCTAGCTTTTCCCATGGTTTGCTTGGCCATAAAACAGGCTGGAGGGATGCAAAAACGGGTTTAGCAGATTTATCAGCTGTTTGACAGACAATGCAGTTGCGAACAGCACGTTCATCTTGACTATCTAAGCCAGGCCACTAGTACATTTCGCTAAGACGCTGCTTCGTCGCGACAATTTCTGTGTGGCGATCATGAGCCGGTTGCACAAGTCTGTCGCACATTGATGTAGGAATGGTGACTGTACCTGCACAGAAAACTAAGTTTTCTACACAGGACAGCTCAAAATCTGACTGCAAAGTAGGGCAGTAGTTCTGGTGGCAGAGATTTCTTATCTGACCAGCCATTAGCAATGAATGCAAGCACATGCTTGAACGTAGCATCTTATGCAGTTGCTGCCTGTAGGTCAGCTTTGCTT